TGCACAAAAATTTACGAGAGTCATCTATAAAACAAAACAGTTTGTATACACAAACTGCACAGCCAAGTCAGACGCTGCGCTAGTTTAACAACGTCATGAATAGAAATCTTCATTTTCAGTAAACCATTTATTTTCACAAAAACGGCATTTTCCACGAACTTTGTGGACAACCCTCGTATAAGGAAGATGAATCTGAAGAATCAAAAATCGTCATTAGAAAGTATTAAGATATTTTCAGATACTTCAGATTCTTTCTGATAGGCCTGTGTCAGTAGCTTCTTTATTTATGATAATATCAAAAGGAAGTGCCCTATAATGATATCTGGTTTATTACTATATCACGAGAACCCTTTAAAGTGAAAAAGTATTAAACAACAACTACTTATTATAAAACTTGAAAGAAATGACAATTGGTTCATAACTGCGGAAAGAGCATTAGAAAATTCATGTCAAATGGCAAATTCCTCCTTATCTCTTAAGAAATAGCAGATTACAGTTCAGGTCTTCAAATTTGAGTCTAAATTAAAAAAAAAGAACAAGTTAATGACTTTTGGCAACGTAGTAATGAAATGTCAAAAAACGTCTTATTTAAATATCTGAAACCTCAGATAAAAACTCGTAATCAGACATCCTCGTAATCAGGCATGTTAATAAAAGTTAATCATCTGTTAGATAAGGTATTTATATTAAATATTCCGCATCTTTTTTTTACGATTTTCTTTTATATCACCATCTCGAGTGCCCATTAGAAATTCCGCAGAGATTTGTAAGGAGCACTCTTCTCCGGCCTAACAATTGCAAGTTCTTGATTTCCTGGTCTGAAAACGCATTTTCAAGGAATAACTGTCTAATTTTTCGATTTAATGATGTAATCAATCGATTGGCTTGCGTGATAATTTGCATAAACGCCGAAGGCATTTATAGCGAGCGTCGTCACTGCGAGCTCTGAAAGCAACGCCTGTGCGAAGAGAAAATTCGGACTACTGCACATTCATTCGATGGAATTTTTTGACGCCGCAATTTCGACCCACAATGCAACACTTGTTAAGTTACGTTCTCCCGAGAATCACGGCAAATGTTTAACAAAAAGTTTACTCGCCTTGATTTAATGGATATATATTGAAGATAAATAGATTGATTGATTGTTTAACGTCCCTCTTGAGAATTTTTCACTCATATGGAGACGTCACCGATGCCGGTGAAGGGCTTCAAATTTAGACCTATACTCGGCACTCAGGGCCATTGAGCAGTGAGGGTTCTTTATCGTGCCAACGTCTACCGTGACACGGGACCTACGTTTTTAAGGTCATATCCGAAAGACCCGTGACTTTCACTTCTAGTGCCGAGCGCTTGGCGAAGGAACAGTCACTACCTATGTTTACGTCTTAGGTATGACGCGGCGCCGCGATCGAGAATCGAACCCGGGCCTCCCGATCACGAAGCGAAAGCTGAAGATAAATAGAAAACAAAACGTTCTTTATTATCTGTCAGCACTGTTCAGGCTTTTTCTCGGAATATTGCGACTTACAAACGTCATGTGACGTCAGAGTCTAGACGCATCAAATGTCACGTGCGGTTTGACGAGCCCGATCTAAATCAAAAGAAATAGAAGAGTTTGCGCTCGCTCTAACGGTCGCACCGTCAACTTATTACATAAAATTATCATGCAAGCCAATCGATTGGTCATCGTCATGAAATTGAAAAATTTGACAGTTATTCTTTATATTTACATGCTTTGATTCCGCCAATCCACGTGCTTCAGCCCTGCTTCTGTCTAGCTATTGATCCCGCCCTGCATGTGGTTTTTCCTTTACCGCGCCAATACATTAATGGGGAAATAAAGCACATTTACAATTTGTAATTTTATCTCGGACAAAGGCATTGAAAATGTAAATATTATACAGTAAAACTGAGTATTATAAATGTTGCGTTTATAATATAAAGTTATGTGAAGTTACAAAAGTATATGCACATATGAATGCAGTGTATCTATGAATACTTTTATCACATTTCTCTATAATGCCTGTGATTCAAAAGTAAAAAAAAAACATATTAAAGTCCGTCACTAAAGACTGATTCATTAAAATTCACTTAAATAAGTTCTCAAATCTTACTAAATCAAATGTGTCTTCTTATATTGTGATAACACAACATAATTAATCAGAAAAAAAACATCATGTCATACTCAACTTGAACAGAAATATGTTTTTATACAATTATAAATCAAAGTACTGAAAGTACTGAAAAGCGGTTAGCATGCTTTCATCTAATATGTACCGAAAAAAGTGCATGAAATGATATTTAAGTACGCATATCTTTGTCCAATTCCATCAGAGAAAAAAACCCCAGACATTCTGTTTTTGTAATACTTTACTTACAGATGGATACAATCTAATTAAAATCAGGTGTTCCGAATCCGCTACTGCTTCTCAAATATCTAACAACATCCTATTTGGGGTCATGTAAGAGTGAATCTTCGATTAGCCAAAGAAAATGGTTCCTCCGAAATCTTGGCTTATAGTTCAGATGGGTTTCTTGTTTTCAACACCGAACCAAGACACCCGAGGAGTTTTGTAGTAAACAAAATATGCATTGCAAAAGCTGTGTTATGTATGACGTTTGGGGTATCTTGTATAGTTTGCGCTCTTTCGTTTGCATTATTCACGTTCAGATGCCAGACTGCAGACTATACATGAAATTTATTCCAAAATAACTTTAATTCAACGTAAGACATTATCAATAATGAAGATATGTAGCCGTGGAATTAATTTGAGAATTGTTTACCGAGGCTTGAATCTACATAGCCAAAGTGTATGTGTTTACTAGTACATGTATTCATAATCGATAGGTCGCTCTGATTGGACCACGAATGGGATGTTAGATGTTTGAGAAGCGGTAGCGGATTTGGAACATTTAAATAAATTTTAATTAGATTGAAATGCATGTTTCAAAATTCAAACATGAGATTTCTTCAGTTTGAAAGACAGGAAGTGCATTTTTAAAAGTTCTCTCTTGGTGGCATCCAATCGTTCTCTGGATGAAAACAATTATGTTGATGTTGAAAATTTAATTGTCTTTCATGCTCTATTGAATCTGAAATTAGGTAATTGTAAAGCCTACTATAGCAAACAACTAAAAAAATGACAAGTTAAATTCTTTAGATTAATGGATTTGGAGTAGTGTAGATCTACAGCTGGCTAGTCAGAGAATAAAGGATGGCTGCGCAGAGACTTAGTAAATGAATTGATATCAGAGAGCTCCAGATGTGTAGGCTCACTGCGGGTGTAACCTGTCAACGAGGGATGCTTACTTCTTTTAGGCAACGGATCCCACCTCTTGAACTTTCAGGAGTCAGTTTTTCTTCTCAAATCGATCATTGATCATTCTGTATTTTGATACAGATACTTCCGTTTAGAAATATTATGAACTACTACTTCTACGGGAAGACTGGCGAGTAAACAATATTATCAAGCTTTATGAAATGCACTTTATTGACTTTTCAAACAAGTAAACAGTATATAAATCATAGGAAGCGCTTTGCTGAAGTTACCGTTGTCGATAGGTAGCGCCTTGTGGAAATTTCCTGTTTTGGTTGCAGAAGGACAAGGTTACGTGCCATAAAGCGATGTCGATAGGTAGCGCCATATGGAAGTTTCCGGTATTTTGGAGCCCATGCCATAAAGCGGTTAGCTAGCTAACCGCTTAAAAATAACACTTATTTCTTTACACTGAATACGGGTGAACTTTCAAATAAGGTACACTGCTTAGATTCCGACTGACAAATACTATTATCATCGAATGCATCCATAAGCTGATTTATTTTATAGATGAAGAATTACTGTCAGAAAGGAAAAAAATCTGTAGAGAAGCATCAGTTTATTTCCTTTGTTTTTTTGTTTATAATCCCGGGAAAAGGGGAAACCGAATGCCATTGAAATAATATATTTGAATAACACATTCAAATCACGATATTCTCATACGCTTTTATTGGGATTATAGAATTACTGAAAAATCCAAAGTACTATAGATATATGGTTTTATTTTCCTTAATTTCTGAGAGGTAATTTAACTTTTTCCTTTTTTATAGGAAGGAAGGAAATTATTTAAAAATTGCATATTAATTTGACCCCATCGCTTATATCGCCAATTGCTTTAATTTATTGGGCAGAATACATCTACAACCCGCATTTTGTGTTTAAGTCTTCTAGATCATCGTAAGTCTAAGACCATGTTCTAATACAAACATTTTCTAAACCAAACTCAGACTACATACAAGGTATTGAGTTTGGTACCTGCAATATTTATTTGATTTTTAGGAGAGCCCTATACAATAACATCGAGATTTCGGAATGGTAATCTGATTTTTACATGGCCCAATACTTCTGTTCACCATTATAATATAAAAATCACAATGGACACAAATCCAACATCTTCCTGGATAAAAAGTACCGATAACCATTACAAATTGGAGGATGTGACAAAGTATAAATTTGTTAAGATCCAGGTTTGACATTAATGGTCTTCGAGCCATTATAAAGATTATGAAGATAATGATATAGTGAGTATTATCAAAGTTGTTTTTTCAACCAATGAAGAAAAAATAAGACGATTGATTTTGTCTGCTTCTTAAACCAAATGCAAATAAAATGCTGTAGTGGTGTTGCTTAATAACGAATTCATTTGTTTGGCTTGATTTATTCCAATAATAAATTTACAAATATCATATTAATGAGGAAAAAAAACTGAATTAATGAAAGCCGAAATAAATGTTTTGACCCCAAAATACCGAATTTTCAATTTACAAAAAAGGGTAATATACCATGGATTGTATTATATTCTCATTTTTATATGAGATCATAAAAGAAACACAGAAATAGCTCAAAGTCAATGTACCAGTACATAGGTTTAGCATCTCAAAAATTGTTTTTTAGCTAAGGATTGTTCAATTCTTTTTTAGCAATATGACATTTCAGTTTCAACTCTTTTATTCTGCATTTCAGTTAATACAGTCGAATCCGAAGTGGGAGATTCACGAAATATATCATGGACAGCTGCATTCTTCCCTCATAGTGGAATTTACACTATTGTCCATGAACACAACGGTTCGAAATCAATTATTATAAAGGTGAATAAGAATGGTCCAGCTCCATCCAGTCAAAAGTATGTATACCACAGTAGACCCTTAGATTCAACGAACATTTTATTTGAGGTGAAGAATATAACAGTAGAAGATGCAGGGTACTACACGGCTGATAAGTTGTCTGGTGAAGGTGTAGGTGTAGTTCTCGTTGTTTTAGGTAAATTACGAAAGTTTTTTTCCACAACTTCTTTACTTTTATAGACATACATCTTCATAGTTAATTATATATTATATTTAATGTTTGAAAAATAGAAATTGATAATGTACATGATGAAAAATCACTTATGTTTGTACGGTCAAAAATTTAATTTATTTGAGGAAAATAAACTTATTCCAGGGGATATGATTTCATCATTGAAGAAGAGACATGTAATATGATAGAGTCATATTTTAATCAAATTTTAACATTTCGTGATAGAAATGAATTTATAGCTCTCTACCTTCCACGAAAATAAAAAAAAATCCATTAAAATTAGCGATTTATAGTATCACGGTTACAGTATCTCTTTGATATAGTCTTTTTGTTTCGGAATGGTATTTTTGATAATATTTTGAATATTCGTATAGAAAAACCAGCAAAACCTATTATAAGAAGACCTTCAAATCAAACAGTAGGGAAAACGGCCTCACTGGAATGTGACAGTACATCGACCTCTGTGCCTCAGTATTACAAGAAGTTACCGCCATTATCCTATACGTGGTACGTTAACGACAACAAATTAGAGAAACAAACACAGAAGACGTTTGAGCTTTTGGTCACTAAAGCCGAGAAATACAACCAATACAGTTGTCAGGCGAAAGAAAAACTAGAGTCAGAAAGAAGTGACAAAGTGCAGATAAATCCTTTGTGTAAGTAATTAATATGGTTTATAATTAGAATTGTTTTATGTAGTTTGAGTGAGTATATGATGCAATGTGAATAAAAATGTAATACAGTAGCAGCTTTTCAATAGCATAAAAACCGGATATCAATTCTTTTTCCAGTAAAAAAAAGATATTATCATTGCTTATAACTCAGGCGCAATCTAAGAAACATTTTTTAAAGAGTTAACAGAAATAAATCATATTGTTAGAGACCGAGATATTGTACGGTTCATCTTTCTTGGTAGCAATTATTGCTAGAAAACATGAAAAAGCTTAAACTATCCTCAAACTTATTTTTACAGCGCGTTGCAAGAAATAATTATGCTTCTAATTGAAGAAAAACCTGATTACAATAATTTCTTTAAGAATAAAAATATCTTTAGAAAATGAATGTCCAATAATCACATTTATTTTTTTTATTTATACTGTATACGTATTACGTTTGGCTGTGTATTCTTTTTAGCGCTTTTGGCTGAGAGAATCTCCGCTAATTCAAGTAAAATGTTTCTTGCACATTCATACAGAAATAAGAAATTTAAAAATGCGCTAAATCAAATGCACGCTACCTTGTACAAAAATCGAATAGTATACAAACTAAATATAATATCAATTTACATTATGCAACATCGAGAAAATTAAGAAACGTTCTCTCTTGTATTTTAACAGATGGTCCAGAAAATATTGCTTTATCTCCAGAACCACTTACAGCCACAGTTAGTATTCGTGATGGAGAGGAATTTGGTCCTTTCAATTGCTCAGCGGACTGTTACCCAGCATGTAGTATCCAATGGAAGTATTTAACACCTTTAGGGGGTTACGTAAAGAATGCTTCATCAATCGGTAAAGAAGCAGTTACTTTACCAAGACAAAGAGCAAACAGAACTATAATGACAGGGATTCAATGTGAAGCCAGGGGCTTTGAGGGAATTAAGAAGTACAACATCACCTTAGATATCCGATGTATGTATAGTTTGAAAAAAATTACTAAACAAAAAACATGTTGGCCAGTAGCTAAGTATTTGGAATTGATTTTACGCCTTTGTTCTATAAAATAATAAACTCTTTGATAGCACGTCATACATAAAAGTGGAGAGAATGACACGTAATCAAAAAATAGAGTTTGTTGTGTTATTAATGACAAAGAACAATTTTGGCTCCTCTCGACTTTTTCAATGATAAATAACCCCAAGACATGACAAACGACTTAAAAGATTGGATTTTAACAAAACTTTTTAGTAAGAATAATTTTTTCTAGTTTCTCAATTTGTGAAATATTCATAAAATATAGAAGTTTATAACATCAACAAATGATTGGAATTACGATTTTTGTTTTATGGAAATAAATAAAATCTTTCAAATAATTTTAAATAAAACTATACATATTGCCATCAAGCTATCAATAGCTGAAACAGAATAGATAAACATTTTAAACTGTTTAAGGTATGTCACTCGTGAAATTTGTTAAATCAAGGATTTTTTGAGAAGTATATTTTTGATAAGTACTCATATGGTGTAACTCAAAATCTTAGAGAAAATAAAAGGTTAGTGTGCATCTTACGGATCTACGGAACAATTAAGTTGACCTTTTTGCACTTAAATTTTTACTATTTGGTTAATTACTTTAACCTTCATTATATTTAATCAGGTGTAACCATGACAATAAATTTATTCTTATTTTACGTAAAATAGTTTGAATAATATTTATCATTGAAAAAAACTTGCAAATTTATGTGCGTTAATTTTTGTTTGACCTTTTTGCACTAAAAAGTAACATCTTTGGGGGTATTAAAAACTAAATAAGCAATAAAACGTTTTCTTATATCAAACTTTTTACGACGTAAGTGCAGATCGGTCACAAGTTTTGAGTAGTTTAAAAAAATGAAAGAAGAAGTTGGGTTTAGCGATGTTAATTTTGAAATATTCGTCAAAATATGCCATTTTTAGGCAAAAAATAATGAAAATTTTATCATGACTTCTTTAACATATCTTCATATTTTGGCAAAGTTTGTTGATGGAAGATGTAAAACTCGTTCTAAAAATATAAATTAAGGCCTATAAAAAATATTCCTTGCAATATCCTAACGGAAAATATTCTCCGAGTAAAATTATGTGAAGCTAAAGTTCCAAGATGTTAGATTTAATAAATGTGTGGATTTGCAGAATTTTCTGCTTATATTCTTCCACAACAAAAAATTAGTCCCTCATAAATATGGCTTCTTTCTTTTGTCTTTTTTTAGCAGTTTTTCCGTTGAATGTTACAAAATTTCCATTGTTGAATAAAGATGTCATAAAAAGAGAAATTTAATAAATAGTTTTGAAGCAAGAGGTTCTGCGCGAACTTTTCTAAAAAGTTGACGAGTGACATACCCAAAGCAGTCATAAGCAATACTGGTCCCGGGAACAGACTGGTCATGAAACAGACAAAGGCTTAAGTCAGAATTTCAATTATTTATAAAATGTTTAAAACTTGTTGAAGGAAACTCATAATTTGCATAGTACAGCAGATTGATGATACACAACCGAAAAGTACATTCATTTTTGACTGCTTAACCTCTAAAAAAATTCAGCATCTAAGGCGTTTTTTGACTTAAGCTTAAGATGCTTCATTATTCCGGGGCCTGGAAACTTCCCCAATATTTGGATTTTTAAGCCAAAGAACTAAATTCAATTTTATCTCTAGAAACAAGCATTTTTTCCGATACAATCTCTGATATTACGGAGGTCTGTGTTTTCTCTGCTCCTATTATGTATTGTTTTATGGACTTTGAAAGAATACTGTTCGTTATCTGCATTTCCTTCTTCATTATATGTCAGATTCAGACACGATGAATTGTTATATCTCAAAATTTCGTGTTCTTTATTTTTCCATTTATTTGCATATAACAAGGTCAAGATCCTGATTTATAAAAAATATTTTTTTATGAATTAGCCAACAGAATAATTTTTTTTAAATAATGGTGATCATTTTAAAGTCACCCTTTGTAAACTCCATTTGCACCTGACAATACACGACTACATAGATTTTTTTTTAATCAAACCTCGATGCAGCGAATTTCTTTATTTTTCACGTTATATATTACATTGGATATCTATGTTCATAATTAAAATCTTTTATACAGATTTATCAATTCCAATAATATATATTAATGGTAAAATGCAAGGAGCAGTAGATTTGAAAGCAGGGTACCCTCTGCGACTGTCGTGTTTTGTGGCTGGAAATCCACTCCCAAATGTCACATTAAAAAAAGTTGGTAGTACCAATATTTTAAAGACAGTTCCTCAAAGCTGGTTGAACTACCCTGATGTAGAGAGAGCTAAATGTTCTGACACGGGAAATTACACCTGCGAAGGTCATTCTGCAGAATTCGGACGCGAGGACCGGTTATTTACTGTCAACGTTAAATGTAAGTATTTTATCATTTTATATACTACATAATTTGATATAGAATAATATTTCACTGCATGTCTATGGAAGTAAATTATATCAATCAAGTGAAAACTATGGCAAAAAAAAAATTAATCGTCAAAGGCCTTTGTTTTTATACTTAATTTGACTGCGGAACCTTCCCTCTACTGATCAATACGTTGAGCAGACAGTGGTTGTGATCTGTTGCCAGGGGATGCTCACTCCTTCTTGGCGTCTGACTCACATTTAGAGTTCTGGGAGTCTGTGTAGATTCGTACATGTATTTTTTATTGGTATTAATCACTGTTTGTTATATTCAACTTCCCGTAAGGTATTGAAAGTAAAATTAAATACTAAACAGAAAATGTATATAATTAACTTTCAAGAATCACATGAGAACAGCAGTACGACATTTTTTGTAATGAATTGAGAGTACAGAATACATGCTGATTACAAGAAAGATCAAATACTCTTAACACAAAGGATACCTTTTACCCTTTGAGATTGTGAGAAACATTTCAGTGAGTAGCAATTTTTTTCTTTTTTATATGTTATAAAGGTGATCTTCAGCTTGACACGTCCTTGTCCTTCAAATCCACTTATGGTTCAGCGAGTGGTCCTGGGGAGAGGGTTACCGTGGAGGTACCTGTACTAGCTAATCCACCAGTCTCTCAAACAAGCATTGTTTGGTCCGGACCCAATTCTACATCAATTTATACCGAGGTTTCTAACAGAGAGAACTTTACCTACAAACACTGGATTATCAGCTCTATCCCTGTTCCCGACCGCAATTCCTTTGGAAACTATTCATTAATGTACCAAGGAAAAATTATCGTCATCATTGAAATCAGTATGGAAGGTAAATCTCATAGCTTTCTTTTTGTTACATTATGCATATATAGTTCTAGAAATTTACATGACATTTTTTTTAATAATCTTCATTTTATTAGGTTTTAGGGGGTATCTGACAAATATCTAGAATCAGAACCTTACCTAGCAAGACTATATCTCTTCTACTAACGTTTAAGATCTATTTATTAGTATTAAGACTATACTTGATTATTGAAAGTTACACTATAATTTTAAAGACATTCCTCATCCACCTTTGAACTTTACCTGGAGTTCTTATGCTGCCGGATACATAAATTTTACTTGGGTATCAAACTTTAATGGAGGAACAGAACAGTTCTTTATTTTATCACAAAAACAAGACTCAGAATGGATACAAGTTGCGAATCTTACAGACCCTGGTGAGGGTAACATGGTATATCATGACCTAGGACCTTTGACCCCAGGACAGCAGTACTGGTACCAACTTGAGAGTTGTAATAGAATCAACTGCTCGTCAGATCCTAAAGTGTTAAAGATAATAAAACCAGGTAAAATACCATCATAAAATAAAGACTCTAATTCTTGACCAAATTATTCGGATAAAATCTGGTTCGGGTCAGTTTACTTTGTTTCATCATCCCCGTAAACTGACCCAAAACCAAGTTATACTTGCATATAATTTGGTAAAGAATTAGAATAATTTTCAAGTAAATTTGATTTAAAATCATTTATTGTCTGAGAGTGTAAAATTTTGTTACTTTTTTATTAGTTCTAATTAACCGCCAAATTTCAAACTTTTTGCTTCACAATCGATTGCACTTGTTATTTTATCGTCAATAAGGTAACTTTTGCTGACAAATGGTGAAAAATTAGATTTTTTCTTAATTTTATCCAGTTATTTCAGGAATATAAAGCAAATTGAGATTGTTGCTAAGGACAAAGTCAGTATAATCTTTTGCTCAGTCTGCCGCAAATGCGTTCGTGAAAAACACTTTAGATTTATGTTAAGAGATTCCCAAAAACTTTGTTCGTGAATAGGTTACAGAAAAAGCAGACAGGGATCTCTAACAATACCAGAGGTAGGATAGGTGAGCTAGAGGAGAAAGCATTGTCTGTCGACCTGTCAGACCAGCCTTGTACTCCATGTCCTGATCAGACAACTTTAAAATCCACAGACAATAAATAATTCTTTAACGATTAGTATTAAGGATAAATAACACAAACAAACTTTTTTTCAGAAATAAGCATTATTTCTCATAGATTTACATTTAAATTGACAACCTGAATAATGTTTACTTAGTAGAGTGGGAGAATTTTATAAGATATTGTCATAAAGTTAAAAAATCATCACGCTTTAGAAAATTTTTGAATATTAGGGTACATATTTACTTATCGAATGATTGGAAGACCCTTAAAAACTCACAAATTATTCATTTTATAAATAATTGTTTTTATTATACTGGCAAAAAATGGATGAATTAAAATAAGGATACCATCGGAAAAGTTGAACAGAGAGTACAAGAAAAGTTGAATTTATTATGTTTCATGATGATTCATGGTGAAATTTTTTTAGGGAAAAAACCGGAATCATTAAAAATTAAAATTATATTCTACACATGAAAATTGTTTGCAAGACCTTTACTATCAGTTATTAACTGGGTAGGTTCAATTACAATTGCAAGATTTTTCTGTTTAAGCATATTAAAGTATACTTTTCTGTAATATATTTTAGAACCAAGTGAAGTGTCAAAAATCCTTTTGGCAATTTCATGGTCAGTAACAGGAAATATTTTAAAGGTTTTCTTCACTTAGAAAACAGAAAATTAGAAAGAGAATAAAATCAAGGATGACAAAAATCATATATGCCATTGTCCTGGATAATTGAAGTGTGAATGTGTAGTGTTGTTTGCGTTGATCGCTAACAATACCAAGAGAATTAGAAGATTCTAATTTGAGTGATAAAACGAAAATATGTATAAATCTGAGATGTATACTTTGTAGAATTGTAGATGCTACTTTGTAGCAATTACAGTATTTCCCTTCAATCACCCCACCTAGGTTGTTTGAATTAATAAGTGAAATGGGGGATTCACCCTTTTTTATCCTAAAGGCTTAATTTTATTTTTAGCCATCCCAACGTCAACCTCCAGTGATACCTCTAGGCTTCTAGCGATTGGCTCCTCTGTTGCAATTTTTACTGTGATTCTGGCTGTAGTTTTTTCGATGCATTTTGTGAAGAAGAAGTCAGCCTCAAAGAATCGAAAAGGCGATCAAAAAAAAGATGAAATTACAAGCAAGAATGCTGATTTAAAGTAAACATGCACAAACAAAGGCATGATAATTTATTGATAAATTATTAGGCTAAGCAAAATTTGTCGGTAATTCACATCAATATATGATTTATAATGAGTATCTATTTATTGAGGTCGTTTTAACAATGATTGTTATTATAATTTAGTAATTTCGCTGGTTAATTAAGTTTCTGTCTCCAGTGCCCTTTCAATTGTCATTAGAAAATATAATAGAATCGAGCAGCGAAATGTTATATTTTATTGAATATTTGGCATGTAGTATAATGAAATACAAATGTGTGTTAGATATGATTAATTTACAGAACTGTAATTTGAAACATCCATTAGTCAAATCACGTTTCACACAATTAAATGAACTATTTATGTCAATGTTTTAGCCCCAGAACCAGACAACTCTCAGTCGGATGCTGTTATTTACGCTGTAGTTGACAAGAATCTGATAATGGAGGATAAACAGCTAATTAAGGCAGAAGCATCGAACAGGGACAACGATTCACGTACTGTGGTATGATATTTAGCTTAACGTGGTATAATCAATATAACATACCAGTTGTATATTATCATCGTGTCTAGTTAGTAATCATATAATGTTGAAAACTTATCCGTGCTACATGTAAATTCATTACTTCTTTCCATTTTTTTTATTTTTAAAACTTTGCCTCTGCCATAATCCTTTATTCAGCTAGTGGTGTGATTTTGACCTGACAATGGAATATTTATTATACTTGTAACAATATGTTTATTAGTCAGTAGTATGATGCTTTGTTTGAAAACATTCATTGAGGGCTTGTCCAAATTAAAGTTATCACGAAATGGCGGATTTTCTCCTGCAAATATGATTTTAAAGCTCACAGTAAGACAAACATAAAAGATTTTTGGATATTGCAAACGGCAACAAATTAAAGTATTTATTTTTTTAACAAGAATCCGCACGTAATAGGTTGTATATGGGAAGAAGGAATAAACTCTAATTTCTTTTTTATTTTTCCAATAAATGAACTTCATATTATAAAAACGAAAACAATCGAAAGGAAAAGAATCTGAGTCAAACTTATTATTTCATCTGGATCTGCTTTTTCAATAACGAAAATGATTTATATAGTTCAAACTCTTTAACGACGTTCGATCCTGATATTTAAAGTCTTAAACTTTTTTTTGCGAAGTATATTTTTAGTTTCTACATACCTAGCTTCATTGAAATTCAAATCAAAAAATGGGGGTCAATATGCTTCTTTTGGCTCTACAGTACATTTAATATGACCTTTTTGCACTGAAATTTGTGTCTAAATTAAAAAAATAAATCTTCGACAATTTCCCAGCAATATTTTTATCCAATTAAAGCAAGAAACAAAATGAACCCTAAGTCTGTTTTTAAAAAGATACTTTAAAATTGTAACTAAAAAAAAAGTTTCAAATTGCTTTGCATAATCCATTATTTGACCTTTCTGCACTAATAAAATGTGATTTTTCTGGCCTTGAAAATTAAATAAGCAAGAAAATTATTTTAAAGTCTTAAACTTTTTCTGAATTTAAGCAAATAGGTCAAAGTTATCGTGAATATTTAGATAAGAACATCAAAAGTGGAGGTATATGATGTTATTTTTCAGATATTTCTAAAAAAAAAATTGTCAATTTTACGTTAAAATTGGCTCAATTTTTTCCCGAATTTTCAGAATATATTTACTATATTTGTCACACTTTGTTGATAAAATCAATAAGAAATAATTTTATAGATATTTCAGTACCATCATAACACATTTCACTGCAAAAACAGCTTTGTGTGCAACCAGCATGGAAAAATAGAAATCCAAAATAAACAGTACTGTTATATTTCAAAAGGGAAAAACTGACCATTTTCGTCTAAAAAACCTTCCGCCACAAAAGATAGTCCCTAGTTTGATTCTGCTTGAATGGAATTTAATCGCGTTTTTTCATTTAAAATAGTTCAATTTGCATTGTAGAATTCAGATTAATTGTTAAAACTTAAAAATAATGCAGAATTTTATAAATAAAGGACATGACCAAAATCCACTCAAAAGTTCAGGATCGAACGTCCTTAAATTTTAGTGCTCTAATATACTATGGATATGACAAAGCATATAATAAAAAAACCGTCATCATATCAAGAAATGTAAGACATTGCATCCTTAAAGCAAGAAAAATATGCTAGAGCCATACTTTCCTTTTTTACATAAAAATTTCGCATCTTTATGGAAAATATTCAATTCATTCTACAGTATCTTATAATTTTGTATTTTATTTCTTTATTTTTTTTAATAAAAAAATATGTTATGATTTATTTCTGAAACTTTTGACAACAAATATATTGGAATAAATATTTTGTCTTTTTTAAAGAATGAGGATGGCTTAGTATACATTGATGTTGAATTTACAAACAAGAGCTTAGACTCAGATACAAAGGGGAGACCAGTCATACACGGAGAAGAAGAGAAGACAGAGTACACGTTCGTGGATTTCTCCCAGAAAGCGCCACCTATACAGAAACCACAAAATGACGACAAGTAAAAAAAAAACTGTTCAAGTCATGTTACACCATCTTCTAGTGAAGGTCTGTAATCCAACAGACGATTTCTAATTAGATTGTTTAAAAGGTATTTATGTTATTGTCCTAGTAACGTTAAGCATTTCACATTTCGTTTCCATACAAAGTACTACTTTAATTAACCTTTTTGTACATTCATATTCATAAGAATTTCTTTTAATGTATATTAAATTTTTGATTATAAAATAAACTTGCCCAGTAATGAATTTCTTTGTATCGAAAATAACGGAATCTTGAAGATTTAAGATCGCAATATATATCTTACATTTTTTAAGGAGGAATTATGTCAATATCGTACAAAATGTTCTACTTGTTCTTGTACGTTCGATGTGCTAAAAGTATATGAGCACCTTAATAAACTTTTTGTTTGAATATATTCATTGCCAAATAATGAATTTATAATGTAAAGCCCTTAGTGCCTATTATTTAACTTAATCTGAAAAAGTCCTTATCTTCATGAACTATCAAGCTGCTTGAAAGAAAAAGCTCGGATGCCGACATGCAATGATAATGAGTAAAATTATTTAGCTTAAAATATCAATATATTATCAATGAAACGATAATTTACCAATTATACTTTAACTTTTTACGTCATACTTTTTTGTGCATCGTTTAAGTTGTTTAAATGACTTGTAATTTAAATGTCATTTGAACATTTTTTATAACATACATGTATATTATTTTCCTTTCCAACTTTGCTATATTTCATTCATGTGTGTTTTTTTTTATATTCTTGAGTGATAATATAAAACATTAATTTCATCTTCAGGCTAAAATTCGTGTACTGTGAGAGTTTTTTCTTTATTATTTCGGAATGTTAACATGTTTCTAGTTGTTTTGAGTGTTTATTTACTGATGCTTATATTGATTCATGTTTTGAAACATTTAATAGAATAGGATCTTTGTGAGGAGATTGAAACGCTTCTTATCCTAATACAAAAAGCTATAATATATATATGTGGAATATGTACTTGTGTATTGCGAACATTTTGATGAGATATGAATATATGAATAGATCTTACATATTTAAAAATTATTTTTGAGTGATGTGTATTTGAAGCTATGAAGAAGGTCGACAAATGCGTCAAATATCCTTTTCAAGTATAAGTTTACATAAATGGTAAAGAACTTTGATTGAACCAATATATACGTTTAGAATAGAGTTGGAGAGGATTAGGGACGGACTCCTTACTTCTCCATGGCATCTGACCTCTCCTCTGTTTTAAGAGGTCGGTGTTGCTTCTGCTCATATTCTTGTATCACGTATCTTGTTATGTTTTAAAAGGTTGCTAATTTAATCACTTTTCATTTAAGAATTATACGTAGCGTTGATTTACATTTCTAAACATTACCCGGCGTAATAGTCTGAAAAAGCAAACAATGATCACATAGCTTAATATAAGAAAAATTCACAAAAATATGGTAAAAATCTTAACGGGAGTTCTCCTTCTTTTTCCCTAGATTTGTTTTAAGAGGAGCTGAAGATTAGTTTATCTGTTAACTGGAAAATAATTAACATGGTGAAGTATATATAGCCCATGCAATTTAACCGTCTTTTTCGTTATCTTGCATTGATTAACTACGATAAAATTCAAATTATTACCTACTATTACACAACACGCTTATGTCGTAAGATTCCAATTAACTAACTTTTACATAGAACTGATAAAGAATACAAAAAATTAAGATAATAATTGGGAAAATTATTGAGAGTTTTTGTAAAATATTTTTGAACAAAAATAAATAGGGATTAAAAGATCCGCTCAAATTTTACTTGTGTCATCTGGACAATCAATAACCACTTAATGTAAATTCACTTTTTATAAGCAACAATGAAATTTTCTTATGTTTTGTTTGATACGGATCATTGGTAAGGTTAAGGGCTGTAATTGTAAAAGGGAGAACGTTTAAACCTACAGATATGTGCTATTTGTTTCATTAAATCGCATGTTAAAAGTGTTTGTATTTCTTTTTTATTACCTGATCTTTTGAGAAATAAGTTAAACTTATATATAAAGAAGAAAGATAAATACCACAGAAGATAAAAGACTGAGGAATGAACTGTAAAATTATGTCTCTATATAGTACTACACATCCTTGTCAGTAACATGTTTAATTTTCTTCCTCATGAACATATTTATCGTGTATAAAAGCAGAACAGAAGGAAGGAATATCATCGCTTTTTTATTCAAAGGTTCAGTTGTTTATAGATATTGTTTATGGAACAAGGTTTGCATTGAAATTGGAAAGTGTGGATTGTGCTTACTTTATTCGGCCTTGAAAGTGAAAGATGTGCAAAGTCAAGCTTCTTTGCATTATTTTATTTGGGATATGTTCCGTTAAAGGTAAGACAAAAACTTTTTACTATGGATCTTGAACACTAAAAGTTAGAGGCATATATTTAATACGAGTACAATAGCTTCTCTTCGTTAAAAGAAAAT